TAGATGGGTGGACGAGTTCACAGCCCACCTGGTGTTAAGTGGTTACTGGAGCCCATAGACATCTACAACGTAAATGCACCACGCACCTTGAGATATAAGTTCTAAGGTCTCAGTATAGTTACAACGGTAGAAACGCATTCTGCTTCACGGCAGAAATAGGCAGAGAGGTGGTACCTACCCGTGCGGACTCACAAGAGGTTCTACTACCAGTAAAAATGTCAATTAATCATGTCAATGAAATGTCTTCAAGTCATGTATTTTTTGCGTTTTGATATACAATTTGGTATATACAGTCAAAATCTGTTATAACGACATCGAAGGGACTGCTCATATTCAGTCGTAAAAACCGATAGTCGTAACAACCGGTGATGCTTAATGTGTATCGTGCAAGTACAAACAAATCAATAGGGAATTATTGGAAAAATATATTTATTCAACTATGTACATTTTGTTTATTACACATAAGTATAATGCATATTATTTTTCTGTGAGCATAAAATCTGTAATTTTAGTCTGTTTGGAACACTTCTTTTGCGCATAAATATTTTGTAATTCACGTTGCATTTTAATTAACGTATCGTCATCGCTCTTTCCAAATGGTTGAAATTGTCGAGTGTCATACACTATATTCCTTTGCTGTCTTTGTTTGAAATTCCGCTCTCTAGCTTGGATATAATACGCGATTATTGTTCAATATTAATTTGTTTTCTTTTGTTTTGCGACATTTTGAAAGTTTCACGAATAACTCCACAAAGTTTTGGTGCATCTTGTGTATAGATAAGTAACAAACTAACTGAAGAGATATGAAGAAGCGGGCTTTGACTCTACCGCATGCACGTGTTTTGTTTCTAAGAATTAGAAAAGACCCTACACTAGACGAAATCCTATTGTTTTCTTTCCTGATTTTAATAGCCATTGAAGACAAATGTGGATACCTATTCAAATTGTTTACAATACAGCTGAGCCGGTCGTTCTAACAGATCTAATTCTCCGAAATATTAGTTAAATGTGGTCGTTTTATGAGGTATGTCGTTATTACCAATGTCGTAGAAAGCAATATTTTTAATAAGGCGGTCATATGGCATTCAGCCGGGACCTTTGTTCTAGGTTATTATAACCGGTATGTTGTTCTAAACGATGTCGCAGTAAACGGTTTTGACTGTATTATTATTATTATATATACGAATTTGATGTTTATAAAATGGAAATTAAAACTAAAAACCTATATATAGTATTAGTAACAACATGAACTGATTTGAAGAGAAGCTCAACCGATCCGCAAAATCTCAAGACACACCCATTACCTTATTAAACTGCTAGTGTTGTTGAAATATAATATCAAAAATATGTTTTAAACTTTTTTTAAATATTTTAAGTAGTTTCTGCGATTCGTGGATATAATTAAAACTATTTTTACGTTTTCCAACGGAAATGCGCCACCCACCTTGAGATATAAGTTTTAAGTTCTCAAGTATAGTTACAACGGCTGCCCCACCCTTCAAACCGAAACGCATTACTGCTTCACGGCAGAAATAGGCAGGGCGTTGGTACCTATCCGTGCGAACTCACAAGAGGTCCTACCACTAGTAATTACGCAAATTATAATTTTGCGGGTTTGATTTTTATTACACGATGTTATTCCTTGACCGTGAAAGTCAAACGTGAACATTTGTTGAGTACGTATTTCATTAGAAAAATTGGTACCCGCCTGAGATTCGATGCACCGGACGTCTTATCCTTTAGGCCACGACGATTTTTTTATTACAACTAATAAACTAATTAATTATCATGTGCAAATGTAATTTTAGATATATTCCAAAACATAGTCACTTAGTTAACGAACAGAGCGATCAGACTCGATGTGGGGTAAAGCCTTCTGTAATATAATACAAGTAGAGTATTAATTTGCGAGGAGAGCTCACGGATAGAGTTTAATTAACAAATTTAATTAGAAATTAACTGTTTTGTAGAGCGAGAGACGCCTCTGTGCGGTCGGGCCGCTCTGTCTAGGGCTGGCGCTAGATTTTATTTTGTAATTAAATTGTTATTTTTGCAAAACGAAAATTTTACTATTGCTAACAAAGGAATTGACTCGGGGTTCACGTGGCTAAATTGTTAGTGAATTCAATGCAGTATCTGCGTTGCTGCTGTCCATGAGCTTCACTACCTACGGCCCCCAGTCCTCTCAATAAAATAATCATTTTATTTATTTAATAAATTTTTCATGTTCCAACTTAAATAAATTTAGAATGTGTAAATATAGAATCAGATTTACTAGTAAGAACACTCGTTTTGCAAACGCTACAAATTTGACTAGAATATATTTAAAACATTAAATATTAAATATTCAAATCTTCATACGATATCATTTTTTATTGGATGATCTCGTGCGTGCGTGATATTAATTACAATCTAAATTTCGTTTCGCTGTTAATATATCATACTTCGAAAAAACTTACTAACTAGCCTTACAATGTACTAAATAAAATTCCACTTCTAATTTACATATAATGGACACATTAGAGTCGCAATGTACAGGGTTACGTTTACGATCACCAACTACCTTACAAACTGAAAAAAGAAGATCCAAATTGAGTTATGAGAGAGAGAGAGAGAGAGAGAGAGAGAGAGAGAGAATACACTTTATTGCAGACCAAAACACAATTTACGTTCAAAAGCAGTCAAAAAGCAGATACATATATACAATAGGCGGTCTTATCGCTAAAAGCGGTCTCTTCCAGACAACCGTTTAATTGATAGAAATTCTGGCAAATATAAAAATCATTTGGTATCACCAGTATTTTTCTAATACAAATTGTCAAAAGAGCGTAGTTTTTTTTTTTTTTGTTTTTTTGTTTTTTTATGTTTTGACTACTATTAACCAAATTAATACATATTTTATCATACTTTAAAAGACAGATAATGTAACTGGTAAAAAATAAAAAATAAATGTTGGAAAGATGATTGATATTAAAAATATCGCATGTTAATTAAACCTTTAAAACACTCTCCTGTAAAATTAGTAAGTTTTGAGATTATACCGCTTTTTAATACGAGAAGACGAACTGAGTTCACTAGCCCTAAGCCCCGGTAGGTGAGCAAACAGCCGGAACTGGCGGAGAATTTGAAAATTTAATTTAGATCAGTTTTGTTCTCGCTAATTGGTTTGTTTTACTTATTTACAATTCGCTTCGCTTCGTACTTAAATGTATTAAAGAGTGTTTTTGTAGCTACACTACCTTCTACTGTTGTATTCTTTTATTTCTGTAAAACATTTACTTAAACATAGTAACTAGTTCGCAGTAAAAACCCACGATTGTAATGAGATTCTTTATTTGCCTAGTATTTGCCCTAGTAGGCAAGCGAGTATACGGCCCATCTGATGGTGAGTGGTTACCGTCGCTAAATGGACGTCAGCAACGCCAGGGGCAGAGAAAATCCGTAATCGAAGTAGTATTTAATGATTGTAATATATTGGAGAAATGAGTGACTGCCTTGGGTTTTTTATTATTATTGCTTAGATGGGTGGACGAACTTAAGAGGTTACTAGAGCCCATAGACGTCTATAACGTAAATGCCGCTACCCACTTTTAGATATGAGTTCTAAGGTCTCAGTATAGTTACAAAAGCTGCCGCACCCTTCAAACCGAAACGCATTACTGCTTTATGGCAGAAACTGGCGGTGGTACCTTCTGTGCGGACTTACAAGAGGTCCTATCACCAGTAACTTCATGGAGACCATGGGAAAATCCATTCAATTTGCTATTGATTTCCACGGTGAAGGAATAACATCGTGTAATAAAAATGAAACCCGATAAATTATAATTTGCGTAATTACTGGTGGTAGGACCTCTTGTGAATCCACGCGGGTAGGTGCCACCACCCTTTTTTTTTTTTTTTAACGCTGGGGAATCCATTTACGGATACCCGGTCCGGGGGGGTAACGAACCGGGTTATGTCGGACTCCGGCGCCTCCTGAGAGGAAGAGGGGGACGAGAAGGTCCTCCACCTCCCCGAATTCTTCGCAAGAGACTACGCCTTGAAAAAGGCGCGCGAAGCACTTGCCCCGCAGAACGACTACCGACTAAACCCCATCGAGCTCCACCACACCGGCCACACCAGACCTACGGTACCGCAGTGCGCGCCGAAAGTCCGCCTTCACCGGTACCCGTCCTGATGATAAGACGGGATTTCATCTCCGGGAAAATCCCGAAGGACGTCATTTCGGAAGATACACCGTGGGCGGCGCACAGGAGCCACCTTGCACCGCCCCACCACCGGACTGACAGTCGAGTACCGGGCGCCCCCGCACCAGCCACCTGATAGTCCCTACGGGGGCTGAGCGGGAGCTTCACGCCCGCGCCGGCCATCCCGCCTTCTGCGCTGAGGTGCTGAAGAGGGATCCCACTCCCTTTCACGCTCTTCAGCCTCACGGGACGCCGTTACCAGGTCACAAAACCTGGCCATGGCCTCCCACGAGCCCTGATCCTCTAACATGCGGGCGACGACAGCCCGCAGGGAGAGGTTTCTCCCCAGCACCGCGACGAGATCTCGCCGCGAGTGCTCCCAACGCGGGCACGTTTCGAGCGCGTGCTGCGCGTCATCGTCCGGGTGCCCACACTGGTGGCAGCCCGGGTGTGGCTCTCTCCTGCAGACCTTCCCCAGGTACCTCCCGAAACAGCCATGTCCCGAGAGGACCTGCGCAAGGTGAAAGGAGAGTACGCCGAGGTGCCACCACCCTGCCTATTTTTGCAGTGAAGCAGTAATGCATTTCGGTTTTAAGGGTGGGGCAGCCGTTGTAACTATACAACTTATATCTCAAGGTGGGTGGCGCATTTATGTTGTGGATGTCTGTGGAGGGCTCCTGTAATCACTTAACACCAGGTGGGTGTGAACTCGTTCACCCATCTAAGCAACAAAAAAAAAATTCAAGCATAAGGATTCCGAACTATTCATATTTTCCTTGCTACGTATGTTGACCAAAAATTTTTCATTCGCAGGTCTGGTTCCAAAACCGTCGAGCGAAATGGCGCAAAACTGAGAAGTGCTGGGGTCGGTCCACCATAATGGCCGAATACGGACTGTACGGCGCGATGGTGCGACATTCCCTCCCGCTACCGGAGACCATCCTCAACAGCGCCAAGGAAAACGATTCGGTCGCGCCGTGGCTGCTCGGTGAGCGAACACCCTTACTTAAACTAATCAGATTAAAAACACTTTTACGGTTCAGCATTAAATAGCGATCTTTTAAAAAGAATTTTAAAGTTATTGTAAAAGTATTTTTAATCATTTTTTTTTTCGACAGCCGACTTTCTGGTTGAGATCATTATAGATGCTAATACCATATAATATTAAGTGAGCTGTGAGTTTGACTTCACAGTCATAAAAAACGGTCTTAACATTATTTCGTCTGTAGTGTTAATTTAAATTAGAATATATTTAGCGGCCGTATTTATACAATGTGTCTCCAGTGACGGAGACTTAAAGGGGTAAAATATGGCGATTTTATCGACAAATCACTATCCCAATAATGTAGACAATCAATTTATGATACATTTTATTCAATATCTTTTTCACAAAATAACAAAAAAAGTATTAATAAAATAAAAATTATAATTTTTATGGCTTTTGTTTTTTGTTTTTTATTTTTTTCGTGAAAAGTAACCGGGTCAAGCTATTTTTTTTTATTGTTTTCTCATAATACAGGATATTTTCATTAAAATAAATCTTATATCAAAGCCAAAAAACAGATAGTTCTGAAGTCGTCATGGTTTAAATATGACTTAAAAACTTCAATAAATTACACATGTCAAACAATAGACTCCAGACCCCAGATTTCATCAGTCATATTTCAGTATCATTTTTGTCCTATGTCCATGGTAACTGGTGCACGGACACATTGTATACAAATAAGTACAAGGCTTCTACCACTAATATTTTCATGCAATAATAACACAATATTTGGTGATAGGACATACTTCAAGATCCCTAGACGTGGAACAGTGCAATGTTAGAGTCTGCTGCTAAGGTATTAACTACTCAAAACCGGTTTGAAAGGACGGACAATTTTTTTATTGCTTAGTTGGGTGTACGAGCTCACAGCCCATCTGGTGTTAAGTGGTTACTGGAGCCCATAGACATCTACAACGTAAATGCCGTGGCCCACCTTGATGTATAAGTTCTAAGGTCTCAGTATAGTTACAACGGCTTCCCTTCAAACCGAAACGCATTACTGCTTCACGGCAGAAATAGGCAGGGTGGTGGTACCTACCTGTGCGAACTCACAAGAGGCCCTACCACCAGTAATTACGCAAATGAAAATTTTGCGGGTTTGATTTTTATACAGACAATTTATACAAATTAAGTCTTATGTCTCGAGGCGTACAGCTACGTTCAGGTTGTGATGTCCATGGACCCTGATAACCGCTTAGCATTAGGTGCACTGTGAGCTCATTTCCTCATCTTGACTATTAGGATAATGATTAATAACTTTAGTACGGTTATTCATTACATTACCATTTGATAGTTGTTTTTCTGTCAGTTATCTGTACAACTTCTGAATAACTGCCTATTAACTGTTCTATAATTTTATATTGTATATATACGGTCTATATATAATATAATAAATGGAATGAAAAACAAAAGTAATAGTTAAAAATGTTTGTGTAGACCCGTCAATAAATACAACTCGTTTTGGTGACACCCATTGACGAAAATAAAAAAAAGGCTTTTGTTGTTTATCACGTAAAGTATTACAGTACCCGGCGATAAATATTGCCCATCGACCGTGGGAAAGAGACGGTTAATTTTTGCTTCGTAGAGCGTTATATCTGTCGCACATTACCTAATTGACATTTAATCTCCATAGATACCGGATGGTTAGTGTATCGTCGCACACAGGTAACGCCCTACCACAAAAACAAAATTAAACGACTGCCTCTTTCTAAATATCGATGCGCAATATTTATTGCCTGATACTGTATTTACAATTATGCATATATAGAAAACTGCTCATCGAAATAAAAGTTTCCCAACGACTGGGGTAATGACGTATCATGAGCTCATACATGTAGGCACCACATACCTGCCTATTTCTGTACTCATTACTCGTGGATTTGGTATTGTGATGCCCACGGGCCCCGGAAAACGACCTTCAAGCGAATAAAAACAACAACAATACACTCGTAAGAAATCGTGTACTTTGAAGCTGAGATTTTTTAAATGCGCTGTAAGCATTACATTTTTCATTAATGAAACAATTTGAAAAGAGTCCACACATATTTTGATATACATAAACCTCTCATTTGAAATACGCTTTAGATTTTTTCTAAACATAACTAAAAATGCTCTCAAAAGAAATCATTATATACCTAATCATTGCGACAAAAAAGTCGTAACGCCCAATAAAGAGCTGCATGTTATTCCTTGAGACAAAATACAATGAATTCTCACAACAATGATTTTGTTCAAGAGTCGAGAGCAGTGACTGACGAGGCACAGTAGCAGACAGGCTCCCCTCCCCGACCACCGAGCCCTGGTGAGTCAAAAACACACACACGGTCACTAGCCGAGCGCACTAAACGACTCTAACTAAAATACAGCAAAACTAGCCCAGTTCAGTAATTAGCTAACTCAACACTTGAACAAAATCGTTGCATGACCACCACCACTAACGAATAACAACTGATCTTAGTAATTTATCCGGTAGTCGATTATGCATATAAAAAAAAAGTCTCTCAAAAAGAACGCTAGCGGAAGTGAAAATTATATGAATGTAGCGGTTTTAAACAGAGTGAGGACCGACTGACCCGCCCAGACCAGACCCACTGAGTTTCTTGCCGGATCTTCTCAGTGGGTCGCGATCTGGTGGTAGATTTTGCGAGGCACTGCTTTTGCTAGGGCCAGTGTTAGCAACACTTCTATTGTGAGCCCCAAGAGCTCACCTACACGCTAGGGTAACGCTAATATAGCCTCTCAAGCCTAGCAGAATAAATAGGAAAAAAAAGAATAGCCGAGCTCAATAACTAACTATAACTGAAATACAGTAAAACTAGCCAAGTACAGTAAAACTAGCCAAGTACAGTAAAACTAGCCAAGTACAGTAATTAGCTAATTCAACACAAATCGTTGCAAGAATCTTCGTAATAACACCAACCGATCTTAGTGATTTATCTTTAGTGTGGTAGATTCGGCGAAGCACTGCTCTTGCTAGAGCTAGTTTTAGCGAATTCTCTCAGGTTGAGCCCCGTGAGCTCACCTACCCGTCCGCGCGTAGCTGTAATAATAGCCTCTTAGGCTACCAGCGAATAGGTAGGGATATATAGCAATACAAATATTTTCTTTGGCATCCGCGATTCGTAGGCAAAATTAAAATATTACATTTTTACGTTTTTTTTATTGCTTAGATGGGTGAACGAGCTCACAGGCCACCTGGTGTTAAGTGGTTACTGAAGCCCATAAAAATCTACAACGTAAATGCGCCACCCGCCCGAGACAAGTTCTAAGGTCTCAAGTATAGTTACAATGGTTTATAATGGTTTCGGGTTTTTTTTTATTGTCCTTACATTACCATTGACGTGTCCTTACATTACCATTGACGTTTCGAATGCTTTCCAGATTTCTTTGTCACGAACGGCTACGGTATTTATTATTTTTAGCCGTTTGAATATTTTGCTAATTATTCTGGCAACTCAATATAGTGACAATAAAAATGCGTTATAAAACTGTAAAGTAATGTTAATTGTCGTCGTTAATAATGACGTACAAGGTTTTTTTATGCCCTTGTAGGTAGACGAGCATACGGCCCACCTGATGGTGAGTGGTTACTGTCGCCCATGGACTTCAGCAATGCTAGGGGCAGAGCCAAGCCGCTGCCTACCGAAGCTGTGAATATTAATAGCTAAAAATCTTGAGTGACATACAATGATGACAACTCTTGAAATATAAACAGCAATGTACCGCTAACTCAATGTGAACGGAAGAGATTATCCGTTTACTTATAGCATGAACACTTGTTGTTTTATTAAGGTCTTATTTCGTAAACTTCCAGTATGAGCATGACAGTTAATAGTCGGTCACAAGATTCACTCAAATTCTACGCATCAGTGAATTTGTCATATTAGATACCGCGCAATGGAAAAATGTTATACACTTACTAGGGGGTAGGAAGCAATGTAAGCAATGTTGTTTCGGAAACACAGCCCTGACTATTTCTGCCGCGAATTAGTCATGCGTCCGGTTTGATGGATGTGACAAGGATCATACAAGACAATTGTAAATCCACTTGGGGACAGGATAGGAGTGTAATAGGAGTAATACAGGATAGAAGGTAGGATAGCAGTGTAAACCCATTTATTTCGGAAATACAGCCTGGACTATTTCTGCCGCGAATTAGTCATGCGTTCCGGTTTGATGAGTGGGACAAGGATCAAACAAGACAATTGTGACTTCGACCTCATGTCTCAACGTGGGTGGCCGTTCTCAAGATATCTGTGGACCTCAGTGCCAAATTAACACCCGCTAGGTCTTTCTTCGTATTTAATTATAAGTAAAAAAAAATATATTTTACTGTCTAGCGTATTAGAAAAATATCGTGCCTTCATATAGTTATTTAAACATAATTAATTAAGCAGTGATTAGAAATACTCGGCTCAATCAATCCCTTCTAATTACTAATTATATGAAGCTACTCTTGTAAACTTATGAAGATTATTAATTCTCTTTAGATTCTGTAATACTACGACTTGTAATGTATATATAAAAAAAAACTACACATTTTAAATCGCCTTTCGCATTTAGTTTAATGATCTCACGCATCCTCCTCCTTGCGTCGGTTTCCTCATTACTGAAGGTCGTGGTCATGGCACATCTCACGCATCCACAGATCATAATACATTATGTTCAATCAAATTTCGTTTAATAATTGCTAAAAAGAAGCAAAATGGCTTCTGTAAACAAAAGAAAAATGTTTGTTGAGAATCATAGTTTCACAATTTTAGCCTTTTATGACAAAACCGAAAGTTCCTGACAAATCCTTTATCCGTCGCAACTCAATCTCGCTCAGGAAACAAAGAGACGTATAATTTTTAATCTCAACAATAGGAGATGTTCATTTTTCACCGAGGAAGGCTTCAGACGAGAGAGCATGCGTGCGAAATAAACTCATTTCGCGCTTG